CCTTGATTCTTCTTATCTAGTGTTGTCGATTGGAAGCCTCCAATTAAAATTTAATTGGAATATTTAATTAATTGAATTGGACCAGGTCCAAATAGGTTCAATTCAAATTACTATAATAAATTTTTAAGTTAGTATTCCTACTACCTATATTTGAACAATAATATCTCGACAACCACCTGATCAAATTCGATGAAAATTTTTTTTATTTGAATTCTACAGATCCACAGAATTCAAATAAAAAAATTCGATTAGGTAGTTGCCACTAGTAAAGTGAACCCAACCCAAGCTGGAGTAAGTTAAGGATGCTTAAAAGTCTGGAGTGAAATCGGAGCAACCACGGAGTGAACCCAACATAGTTGGAGTGGGTTGGAAACCAACCAATTAACAACCCTAGTGTCAAGATATCTTTTCTCAAAGTTTTTAGGCGGCTTCTATTTTTAAAGATGTTTTGAATTTTTTTAATAAGCAAATTCAATGAAAAAATTTTCTTTGTTTGAATTCTATAGATTTGTAGTATTCAAATAAAAAAATTTCATCGAATTTGATTAAATGGTTGTTAAGATATTATTTGACCAAATATGAAGGTATAAATACTAGTCTTATAATTTTTATTAAAACTGTAATTTGATTGGATGCAATAAAATTCATATTGATCTTAAATCAAGTCACGGGACATAATGATTTACTATGTCTCGTAACTCAGCAAAGATCCCATATGCTATTTGGACCTATATTCCATTTAACTTCTTTGGACAATTCACAAATTCATTATTTGAAAATAGAACACTGTTCTTATCTAATAAAGTACTTAAAGATTCATTACCTGAGGTTCAGGAGTAATACTTCCGATCTCTACATAACCAAACCCAAGATCAAAAAGACTATCAATGGCTTCACCATGCTTATCGAACCCAGCAGCTAAACCGATTGGATTAGAAAACTTTTTTCCCCATGCCTAATAAATAGATAAATAACGATAAGCATACCTCATAGTACAGTACTTAATAATTGAAATTTTTGTCAAGATATTTTACTCTAACTGCTAGTTTTTCATCGTCCGTAAGTCTATCTTTTGCACAAAAGCCCCATTTTGCCACCCATATAGCAAGTTTATGACTCGTCTCAGCATCAGTTACAGTTCTCAGAACTGGAGTGATAAAGTACTTATGAATAGCGGCCCTTGAATCAAAATAATATTCCAAAAAGGAGACACCAAATACGACGCTGACAGTTCCGATAACAAAGTTCTTTAGTTTATTCGTGAAAGTTAGTGGGTGTTGGCTCACTGTGGTGGAAAAAGTACGGGATCCCGGCCTAACAAAAACAAAATGTGGTTTCCTAATATGATAGGATAGTGAAGTTCTTGCATAGCTAGACGTTCTAAAGAGAGTCATTAATGTTAAATTGAGCATATTTTTAGTTAAAACATCTGTTTCTGAGTAGATCATTCTAGAACCTTCTGATAAGAATCACACATTAGTAATTACATTGTATCAAATATTTATAAAAGGGACAGAAAAAAATTCTCACATTTCAAGTTCTGTTGTTATCCCTAAATTTTATCTGTTATCGTTATATTCCAAACCTTTATTTTTTTTCGCTTTATTACTCAGCGTACATTAATAAACATGCAAATTTTCGTTAAAACTCTTACCGGTAAGACTATTACCCTTGAAGTCGAGTCATCTGACACCATTGACCAAGTCAAGCAAAAGATTCAAGATAAAGAAGGAATCCCTCCAGACCAGCAACGTCTCATTTTTGCTGGTAAACAATTGGAAGACGGTCGTACTTTGTCTGATTATAACATTCAAAAGGAGTCGACACTTCATCTCGTCTTACGTCTTCGTGGTGGTATGCAAATCTTTGTAAAAACTCTTACCGGTAAGACCATCACCCTCGAGGTTGAGTCGTCTGATACAATCGACCAAGTTAAGCAAAAAATTCAAGACAAGGAAGGAATTCCACCAGACCAACAACGTCTTATTTTCGCTGGTAAACAGTTAGAAGATGGACGTACCTTGTCAGATTACAATATTCAAAAGGAATCAACACTTCATTTGGTGCTTCGTCTCCGTGGTGGTATGCAAATCTTTGTAAAAACATTGACCGGTAAAACCATCACCCTTGAAGTCGAATCATCTGACACTATTGACCAAGTAAAGCAAAAGATTCAAGATAAGGAAGGAATTCCACCAGATCAGCAACGTCTCATATTCGCTGGTAAACAATTAGAAGATGGTCGTACCCTATCAGACTATAACATTCAAAAAGAGTCTACTTTACATTTGGTGTTACGTCTTCGTGGTGGTATGCAGATATTTGTGAAGACTCTTACAGGCAAAACAATTACCCTCGAGGTTGAATCATCAGATACCATCGACCAAGTTAAGCAAAAAATTCAGGATAAAGAAGGAATTCCACCAGACCAGCAACGTCTTATTTTTGCAGGCAAACAATTAGAAGATGGTCGTACATTATCGGATTATAATATTCAAAAAGAATCCACACTTCATCTTGTGTTGCGTCTGCGTGGTGGTATGCAAATCTTCGTAAAGACACTAACTGGTAAGACTATTACGCTTGAAGTTGAATCATCGGACACCATTGATCAAGTTAAGCAAAAGATTCAAGACAAAGAAGGAATTCCACCAGACCAGCAACGTCTTATTTTTGCGGGCAAACAATTAGAGGATGGTCGTACACTCTCTGATTATAATATTCAAAAGGAATCTACACTTCATTTGGTACTCCGTCTTCGTGGTGGTATGCAAATCTTTGTAAAAACACTTACCGGTAAAACTATTACACTCGAAGTCGAGTCATCTGACACTATTGATCAAGTTAAACAAAAAATCCAAGACAAAGAAGGGATTCCTCCTGATCAGCAACGTCTTATTTTTGCAGGCAAACAATTAGAGGATGGTCGTACATTGTCAGATTATAATATTCAAAAAGAATCTACCCTTCATTTAGTACTCCGTCTTCGTGGTGGACAATAATATAATGCATTATCTTGCGATGGTAGGAAAATTTGCGGGTTTGGATAATGAGAATTTACAATTAAATTTATAATTATAGTTTTATTTAGTTTTTAGATGCTACAAATGCATGTAATCATTCTTTTCTAGTCTTTTGCTCATTTTAAAGATTAGTTTGAAATTTATGATAATAAAATTATAATGTGTTAACTGATAAAATCAGAAGTAATTTTTTGTGATGCGGGAAAAATATGTTGTTGCAAATGCTTTATTTTTGAATTGCATAGCTGGCATAGCTGATATAGCTGATAGTATTATATTATTATTCTCTTATAAAATGACTTGCTAATCTCTCTTTTAAAAACTATGAAAATTTCATCCCAATATCTGATTATCCATATTGTGGATAAATTAGTTATCATCGCTCATTTATTACGTAAGCCATCTCTTAATATCTTATAAATATAGAGCTTTTCACTCCTTTTAAGAGGTGATAAAAATTTGTATTAGGAGATGGCCGAGTAAGTTACACGAAAATCGTTCTTAACCGTTAAAAAGACAAAGAAATTGGTTCAAAGATTAATTAACGTTAATTATTATTATTATTAATTATAATAAATTGTGTTACTGTCAAAATTTTGTCAATGTTGTACGTATAATACTGGGCCCTGTCCACTTCACATGGTCTTATGCAACTTACCAAATGAAAAAACTGTGGCTGCAAATCATAAACACCAAAACTATATAACGATAAAGTTTTAGCGGGAATTTTCTTTAAATCATTATTTTAAACAAGACAATGACTGATAATAATAAACAATTACAGTATGAAGAATTATCTTTATTAATCTCCATGTTTAACGATAATGAATTTAAATGGGTTGGTGATCAAGATCAATCGGAATATTGGAAGGTTAATTATTATTAAATACAGTATTAATATATATATTATCAAATTTAATATATTAAAAAGAAATTCCTGAAATATTTTTATTTTTTAATTTAAATTTTTTAGTTTTTATTTTATTTTTAATAATTTATTATTATTAATATTATTATTATCTATTTATTATTTCATTTTATTTTTTTTTTTAGTCAGCGATAGACAAGTTTATGGTAGCTCAAGATGTTTCTAGTTTGGAAGCTTCTTCTTTTCGATTCAGAATTTTACTGGATACGGATGAAAATTGGTTCAACGTGTTTCTACCCAGTCGATATCCAGATGTTAGATCAGAATGCTCCTTTTCATCTAATACAGCTACTAGGCAAATGAGGACCGAAATAAATCAAGAAATTGAGAAAAAATTGAATGAAAGAAATGGTGGTTGGTATATTCTACATAGAATAGTGTAACCTATTATTGTCACGTGAATCAGATACATAATTATTATCGTTATACGTAGAACTAAATATTATTTAATTAATTTAATAATAGAATGTTGCATCTTTGATGTTTACCAACATATTAAAACATTCTTGCAGCAACCGGTTACTGCAGAAACATCAATCACAGAGTTTTCTCAGATTAATGAAAAAAATGATAGTTCATTTAAAATTTGTCGAATTTTGATATGGACACATCATTTGTTATCTCTTGAAAAAAGAAAGTGTATATGTCGATGGGCTAATGAATTAGGAATCTGGGGTATGTAACTCTTTAATGATCTTCCTCTATCCAGGGATCATCTCATTCCTTATCTGTTATTATTATGTAATTATAACGATAAGGCTTTTCAAAACCCGGATATCCGGGAATAATAATCGTGGAAGGATTATATGATAATGTCCAGGATTACGTTTCTAGATTAAAGGTATAAATAAAATTTTATTTCATCACAATACTATCTTTATTAAATTTAAACCGATCCAGAATTTAAGATGGCAAGCGATTACTATCCGATCAGAAGAGACTGAAGTAATCCATAATTCATCATCACAAGATCATAGTGAATTCGTAAAAATAAGACTGGGACGTACTAATCCTGGCGTTTCTGAATTTGAGAGTATGTCCGAAATTTCTTTAAGGTATTTATTTTATTTTATTTTATTTTATTTTATTTATTTCAAAAATTTTATTATCTATAAATTTTATATCACCCTATAGAATGAAAGAAGCAGGACTAGAGGAAATGTTTTTGTCAACTATGAAGATTAATAAAAAATAAAACAAATCGATATTATATAAATTAAAACTCTTCCACACAATGTATGCATGTATTAATTTTTTATAAACCCATAAATAATTATTAATAGGTTGAAACAGAGTCGTACAATACCCCTGTACGATATCCCAATAGGCAATTGGCATGTAAAAAAAAAATCCTTCAGCAATCATTCGTCCAAGGGGTGTAACATTACGTTTCGTGTGTCTTCTAACGTTCGTTTGACCTAAAAAAATCCATAGTACCACCGCATTCTCAATATAAATGCAAATTTATTTATGCGAACCATCATGTCAACTTTTATAGTAAATGTGAAATGTATTAAGTAAGTATGTGTGACTGTTTACATAAATTCCATGTATGACTGGATTATATTACCAACCATAGTTATTATAGTTATTGCAAGACGAAAACCCCGTTTTGAAATTTGCATCCCCTTTTTCGCATTTTTTTTTATTTTTTTGTTCAACATTATTTTATTTTTTTTTTTTACTTTGAGTTTATTCCTTTAACATTTTTTAATTCGCGCTTTTGTTGTTGAACATCGAAAAGCAAAACGATAACTTTTTACTTTGACTTAATATATCATCTTTTCTCTCTTTCCTTTATCGCTCTTAAAACCGTTTAAAGGTTATCTAATTTTAGCTCGTTTTTAAAACAATAATGCTTGCCTTCGCTATTATTGGCATATAACATTTTATTTATTGAAACCGGGTCTTCCTTTATAGACAATAACTCATTTTTGTTCAACAGCTCAACTGAGGAATAAACACCGAAAGGCTGTTACTAGAATTTTTTTTTTTTTGTATCAGCCACATCTGTTAGTTAGTGTATCTTATTTTTATTACCATTTCTTTTAATTTAATCAAAGCTACAAGAATTACAAAGTTTTATAGCTTTAAAGTGAGGTGCATTATCTTTGTCCAAAATATTTAATAGCGCATAATTTGGGAAAAAATTATTATTATACAGTACCTTTTTTTTTTTTTTTTGCCATCTCCAATTCTATTTAATTAAAGAGGGTAAAAAAAATTCAATTAACGTAAAAAAACTAAAAATAATATTAAATTAAGAAGCATCTCAACAAAAACTTAAAAAAAAAAAAAAAAAAGAAATGGGTGGCCAACTCACAAAAGAACAAGCTCGTTTGCCTTTCGGATATGTTCCAAAAACACTACACCACCAACGGCAATGTATAACGGGCTTAAATCAATCAACATTACGGCCTAACATACATCCGTCTCAGGATAATCCTGAAACGTTCTTTAATGACATCGGTGAAATTAATAATCGTTCTATTTTAATAACGCCAGCTGGTGAAACCGCGTCGATTTTCACTGAAACAACGGATACTATTTCTCCTGAAGTTATGATGGATGTGGATAAACCTGATAATAATTCAATTAATGGAACTATACCAGATGAATTTAATATAAATAATAACCTGAGTCCAATAGTGTTTAGTGATTTACAAAATTTTAAAAATATTGGACTTTGTCGACGCGGTCTTGTTAAATTAAGTCCTAACATTTGTTTTTTGTATGTGACGACATGTTTACAAATGTAAGTATAAAAAAGATATAAATGAATATTATATGTTTTTTATATAATTTTTTTAATATTGATATAAATAATCAATTTAAATTAATTTTTTTTATTTTATTTATTTATTTTTAGATGTTGTAATGAATTAACTGAAATACCAGCTGAAATCGGTTACATGAAAAATTTGACAACGCTTGATGTTTCTAAAAATCGATTGGAATTCATTCCGGACACTATTGGATTTTTATACAAGTTGCAGGAATTAAAGTTGTCAAGTAATCAATTATCATGGATACCATCTTCTATTGGTTCTCTCAAGAAACTTGGTACTCTTTTACTTGATGAAAATAAGATTACTGAATTACCACCAGAAATTGGTCAAATAAAGACTCTTGTCCATTTGGATGTTCGAGATAACCCACTCACCGTTTTACCTGCTGAACTTGGACGACTCCAACAACTTCGAAAATTGCGAACTGATGGTTGTCAGTTAAAAACGGAATTCGTACATCAGCTTACACATTCTCCACCGACGTTAATGGAACTTGCTGCACGTACTATTGTTCGACTTCAAGTTCCAATATTGGAAGATACAACAGATCATATTAAGGATTATCTTGCTAGCGCCAAAAAGTGTAGCTTTTGTGGTGGTCCTTATTTTGAAAGTTATGCAAAGCGTGGTAAAATAATTGATAAGAATGAACAACTTATACCTCTAGAATATCGTTTATGTTATCCTCATTGGAATACTGAACAGGAACGCGTTAGTCTATTATTTTGCGCATTACCAGATACTGCCCCAAGTCCTGAACCATACAAACATCGTCGTAATACTACTGATAAATCATGTGATGGAAATTCAGTAGTTGGTGTTTCATCTAACACTCAGGAAAAAGTTCAACAACGTCCTTCTGTAAGACGTTCCATGACTATTCCGCTAAGCTCACTTACTAGATCGCCTTCGTTACCTAGTTTGCCAAGATCTTCATCTCCACGACCTACTGATGATTGGCTGCAAGATGATGAAATTGGTATAAAGAAAAGCAATAGCACCCGCGGACGTAATGGAGGCGTATCAATATTGTGGCGTTCAAAAAAAAATAGTGCGTCATCTGCTATTCTTGGAAAACCTTCGCGCAATCATTTACGTTTAAGTACCCGATGGGGTTGAAATTTTGTTTTTTTAATATTGTTACTTATTTTTTTCTTTGTTGATGGGATGGACATTATTATTTACAACATAGATTATGAATTGACATTATGTGCGTGAGGAATAATGTACATATTATTCCTTTTTCATTTTATATTCCTCTCACGCGCTTAATTTGATCTTTTTGTGTAATTCTTTCACTTTAATATGTATATTTCGATCCTTTTTTTTTTTTTTTTTTTTTTTTTTTTTTTTTTTTTTTTCTTGTTCTTTTTTTTTTTTTTTTTTTTTTTTTTTTTTATTTCTTACGCGGTTCATTGTCGCAAAAAAAAAAAAAAAAGGAAAAAAAAAAAAGTTCAACCAAACAAAAAAAATTTCGCATCGTATCCCGGGCACCATTCGACTCTATTTTTAAGTAACATACGCAATTGCTAACTGCCCACTAGCAAAAAGCATCTTTCAACCATTTCATACCTATATGATTAACATACCCGAGGATTCCACCATTTAAACATTCTTTTTTTCTGGCTCGTACGACAAACACTCTTTATTTTATTTTGATAGACTCTTTTTAAAAACACCATACCTTCTTATAATTCACTTTTCCCGCCTACTTCCCATGCATATGCTCGAGCCACGCAGCCCATTTTGTATAATCAAATATGATTATCTCAAAATTGTGTATTGTATGGCTTGGAATATGCTATCCTTTCGCTCCGCATTTAGAATGTACATTCCAATTTGTTACCTTTGTAAATATACGAAGAGGTGTTTGTACATACAGTTGTATTTGACTGGTGGATACTCTATCGTCCCTTTCCCTTTCTAGTCCTTTATCCTTTGTCCAATGGCCACAAAAAAAAAAAAAAAAAAAAAAAAAGCGGATTTATGCGATTAATCATTCCCTTCAAATTTACTCGTTACGCTTCCAAAAAAAACAAAAAAAACAAAAAAAAAAACAAAAAAAAGTGAAAAAAAAACAAAAAAAAAAAAAAAGAAATTTATAAATTACACATTTATGAAGTAAAAAAAAAATCTTCAAAAAATAAGTTAGTATTTTGAAGGGATAAATTATAGGATAAAAATTGGGAATAGTTGGAGAATTATATAAAAAAAAAAAAAAAAAAGAAAAAAAAAAGAAGAAAAAAAAAAAAAAGCAAAAAAAAAAGAAAACAATTCTTCTTAAGTAGTGGGGATGTATTAATGAAGAAGAATTTAATTTTGAGAAAAATACCTTTATAATGTGAATTTTATATCACCACAATTTATCATATACACAGTATATTTAAATATATTTTATTCTATTATTATTTTTACTACATTATCAGCTGCATCTATTTTTTCTTCTTGTTTATTGATTGATTTTTTTTTTTTTTTATAGTAGACTAAAAACATTTATTACTGTATCTTTTCGTAAATGACCTATTTTCGATGAATTTTTATGGTTTTTTTTTCTGTAGGGAATGAATTTGTTGTATAGGCTTGGAATTTTGGAAAAAACAATTCCCACCCAACGATTAGGGAAATTGAAAATTACGAAAATGTTGGATTAGGAATATTTTCACTTTGAATAGATCGAAAATCTAACATTTTATTTCTTTAGATCACCATATATCCGAATTTTGATATATTCTGATTCTTTGAAATTAGTAATTTATCGGAAAAAAAATAATTGAACCGAGTTATTTTTATTCACGACCATTCCAAACTTTACATTTTCTATTTGCGGTTATTTTACCATAGAAGCTTTTCTTCACCGAGAAAGAAAACTTTAATTTTTATTTGTAAAAAAAAGTCATTTACATTAGAAAAAGTACCAAAAATTTTAATAAAAATAATTTAAATAAATAGCATTTAATAAATAATATTATCTGTATTAATGTTTATAATTAATCTTGTATCAAAACTAGTTATATCTGAATTTTAAATATTATTAAATAATAATTAAAAGTATATTTTAAAATAACTTTCGATGCTAACATTTAAAAATTATCGCACATAATAAATTCATACATAAAATCAACGTATATATCTATTCGTTAACTGTTTAATTTTATTAATAAAAAGGGTTTGAAAAGAAAATCGACAGTTCTACACACTCTCAAACGCATTAATTGATTCATAGTCCTTATTGTATGTATTAAAACAACAATTATGAAAAAGAACAATCAAAAAATAAAATAAATTTTTATCACTGCAATTGTTACACAAAAACAAAACTAGATCTAATAATTTTCAAGATGTATGTGTCCAATGATTAATATCATTAAATATAACTTAAATCTTTTAGAATTTTCATTTTGTTATAACTTACTATTGTCGCTGATCTTCACATTCAAATTCATTAAAATTTAATATGATTAATTACTTTCACTGACTATCATCCATCAATGAATAATCCGGAGGAGCAAATGGTTTAACTAGCATTTCAGAAAATTCTTTAATATCTTGTGTACCACGTATTTCTTTTGTCAAAAGCGGCATTAGTACAATGTGAAAATCTTCATAAAGATTGTAAATTTGGTCCAGATATTTTTGTTGCATTTTATGTCGAACGAGGCACTGTTCACAATCAGAATCTAATAAAAAGGAAACGGATTTTTAAGTGTTTCATAAGTACTTAATAACGACGAGCTGATAAGATTAATATCAACAATGCTATTCAAATGTTGAAATATGAAAATTACCTTTCCGTGGAAACAATAATTGATTTACAACAATATTGTGAGTATCGATATGATAAGTGGTTAATTCTTGGATCATTCGTTCTGTCTCATAGAGTGACAAGAACTCGGAAATGCATACACAAATGAATGTAGTCTTATCCTATTTATTTTAAAAAAGCAAAATTTATTTTTATTAATGAAAATGAATATATGTAATTAAAAAATGAATGTATTTTTATAACGTAACATACCGGATCTTTAAATTGATTATTCACTTCAGTAATAATGGCACGCATTCCTTCAAGTTTTCCAAACATATCTTCTTGATTAGCATTAAGACCCATCATACCAGACATCTGTAATTTCGTCCACAGGAAATTAATAAAATTTCTTAAACTCCACTAAAAACAGTGTTTATATAACTCTGCCCCATTTTCCAATAGTGTTCACTCTTACTTGCTGAAAAACTGGTCCGAACCGTCCACTCAATTGCGAAATTTTTGCTAATGCCTTTTCCAACACACTAGGAAAGCTCAAAAACCGCAATGTATGACCAGTGGGGGCGGTATCAAAGATGATTACTGAATATTCCATTGTTTTTACTTGCCTGATGAATTAGTAAACGAATTGCAAAACGAGTATAAATATTAAAAATTAATTTATCGATCCTAAAACTAGGGATTGGACCCGATAATGATTTCCATTGGGATGTTCTATGAGTAAAAGATAATCTAAACTTAATCAACTAAAGTTAGGCATTACCAGAACGCTCTTGAGTTATCTGGTAATGTTTTTTTTTTTTCCTTTTTTTTATTTATTTTTATTTTGTCTTTTTATTTTTATTTTTTTGTTTTAATATAATAATGCTCTACCTGTTTAATCGGGTAGTTTTTTTTTTTTTTTTTTCGATTTTGACGGGTCCAATCCCTACATGAAACAAATGACCTATTTTATTTACTTCATAACTTCAGCGAAACCCATAGCTTCATCAACACCAGGAATGGCGAAGGCGAGGTCCTGCATCATAGCTCCCATAGCTCCTCCACCTTGCTGTTCAGCTAATGTAAAAATAATAATCTTAATATACATGACATATGTATATTTACTATTTTTTTTAATAGAAAAGATATGCATAAATACATTGATCTAGCATTTCTTGAATCGATGATGTCGGGTCAATTTCCTAAATAAAGACATTTTAGGCATTAATAAACTTTTTTAATTCTAAACATTTTATACAAATAATTTATACGAATTATACTCACCATTGCATACAAATTCGTAAATCCATCTACTAGCGTAGCTTCTTTACTGAATTTTTGCCCAAAAGCATCACTCAAATTATGTGCGGGGTCAGTTGATATTAGTAAAACTGACTCTCTCACTTTACTCAGCTGCACTGCGAGGGAACACGATGTTGTCGTTTTACCTAACATTTCGTTGTTATTATTACCTTAAATTATCTCCAAACAAAAAAGATAGAAACATGTTTAAAGCAAATACATATTTAGTATAATTACCCACGCCTCCCTTTCCACCGACAAAAATCCAATGTAGGGAATTTTGGTCTATTACGTTTTGCAAAGAAGGTTCAAATTTTTCGAATTCTTCATCAGAGGAATCTTGAGACATTTTGACTAAAATTTTGGCTTTTCTAACTGAGCAGATATGACGTAGACTTGCTCAACATTTATATATGCTGAGCATAACTGTCATATGATTTTATATTATAAATTCCAAATTAGTACGTATACTACATGCAAGAGCTTACCGTTACTGATTCCTATTTTATTTAAAGCAGCAAGTTTTTATTCGAAATGTTCGTTGAATGATTAAGATTATTCGAATAAGTACTGTTTTATTCGAATAATTATGTTATTTGAAACTATATAGTTACTGGATATGAAGTAGCAAATTACTTTTTTTTTACTTAGACGATTTTTGTTCTTTATTTTATTAACTTATCTACAGATATTATAACAATTACATAAACTAAAACTGCAATTCCAAACATACTTAGCTATCATATAGTGTCTAGGTGTGATCTGCTGCTATTTTTCTTATTACTGTAGTAAGAGTTTGTTCAAGTAAACTTCTTGTTCATGTAATTTTAAAAAAACTATTACGTATTAACATATATTAAGTTTTTTTATTTATTTTTGAATCTCATCTACTTTTCTTTTTTTTTATTTTTATTTTTTTATTTAAACAAACTTGTTTTTTATTTTATTAAAAAAAAAACTTATAGAAGCTATAGGATATATTACTATATAATTTATACTAAATAATATCTTTCTTTTAACTATTCTGGATTCAAATAAAGTTTTCTGAAGTTTATAACTGTTTATTTTTTATTATCTTTTATATTTCTTGTTTAATAAATTCTTGTTTATTTGTTAGTACTAAATAAAGTTATAATTGTATTGAAGGTATATTTTTAGTATATATTTGATAAGTAATTAAGTTAGTTCTATCTAATTTATTTTTTTTATTTACAAAAAAGTTTGCAAATTCTAATAATAATTGTTTAAATAATTGTTTTTGTTCTATGATTAGAGGTTTTAATTCTAGTTTTAGCTTTTTATCTATTGTATAAATCTTTGTTTCAAATAAAAAATCTTTAGACTTTGTTTTATCAAATAGTTTTTTATTCTATTTAAAATTTTCTAAAAGTTTAAATAATTAACTAATAAAGTTATTAGTTAAACTTATTTATTAGTATATTAAAAATTATTAATAAATAGTTAAAAGAAGTTATTAATTAAAATATTTTAAAGGTCTAGGGATCTTAGTATAGTAGTTAGATTACCAGACTATTATACAAAAGGTTTGAAATTCAAATCTTACTGTTGATGAATTTGAATAATTATCTAAATCTTTGTATCTAACTTATAGTAAACCTTGTTTGTTTTTAGAGTTATAATTTTGTAAATCATGTTATATTAATATCATCTGAATATTAAGAATATAATGCATGTCTTAAATCTGTGACAGATTATATCGATCACTAAATCGAAAAAAGCATAAAGATCAGAATTAGTGCAGACTTTAATTTACTTAATATTTAATATTTAAATATATTTATAAACTAAAATTTCATGTTGAAAACTTTTATTTAGAAGTCAAACTATAGTTATCATAGTAAATCTTGTGTTATTTGTAATTTTTCTGTTTTTTCAAATTTTTTAAGTTACACATGATCTTGTGATTTTATTAGCTATATTTAGCAATGATTGATATAACCTGTTACAGATTTTAGATATGCAAATATGATATAATATTGCATAAATAAATTTTAATAAGATCTATAAGCAGAGATCTGTATGGTAGAAGAAATCTCAAGTTAGTGAAGTAGTATAGTTTTAATAGTTATATTGGCTAATACTTGATTCAAAAAAAAAACTGTTACTCTGAAAATATAGATTGAGTTAGATACAGTATTAGCACTTGATATATGTTTATATTTTTTAAAAAATTTGAATTATATCTAAATATATATGTCTATATCCAAAAATTACTATGTCTATATTTTGTCTATATTATTTTAATTAGTTCAAATATTCATATTAGCCAATACTGATTAGATATGAGTAAGTTAATTCTACAAAGAGAATTAGTAATATCAACTTGGTTTAGTAGCTAACTGAATTAGAAGGATCTATTTTGTAAAATATCTGAGGAGAACAGCTAATATAAAACCAGTGAAAAGCTACAGTAGGAACTAGAATTATACAAATATCACAAAGGTCTAAGCTAGGTAAATTTGTAAAATAGACATAGACTGCTCTAGTAAGTATACTTTGAGATTAACTAGAGCTCTATATACTTACAATATATTAAATAATATATATTCTAAGAGAATCTAAGCTAAAATCAGTAAATAAATCTATAATAAGCTAGCTAGCTTAAGTAGTTAAATATTATAGTAATATTAGTTTGTAATAGTGTAATAATATTCAAAAAACTAATAGAATACTTTAAGATAGAATCTTTTTTAATAGAGAAAACCAAGTCATATACCAATCTGAATAATCCTCAATAAAACAATATAAGATTGTATAGATTTAGTAAAATTAGATCAAAATTAGAGATAATAAGAATACTAAAAAGTTTAAAATAAAGTATTTACAAAAAAATACTAGATATGGTAGTTGGTAGGTAACTTTAATAGTGAAACCTTTCATTCACACTCTCTCTGTAGATCAATTTTACCAAAATTCGAGATAAAGAATAGTCTATAGAAAACTCTTTAAATAGCTTAAGAA